ATAGGCACTTGGGACTTGTCAACTTATGTCTGAGGGTGACGGGCGCAATAGCAGTGCCCCTCAGATCTTTGCGATTTAAAGCTCTGAGTGGCACTGCAACTGTTATGGACAGGCGTGTTACCATCACGCGCACGACTGGTTCGTCCCGTCACTTGATATCATAAAAAAGTCATCATTTCTTCCAAACAATGCCGTAATGACCTGTCCTGAGTCGCTCGCATCCAGCGGATTCCCGCAACCCTCACCAGGTCATTAGTCCACCTTGTGGGTGGTCTGCCCATGCTGCAATTTTCCAGTACGTACGTCGTCGATCAGCCATCTGTTCTGCGAGCAATGTGCCCTGTCCACTGCCATTAAGTTTTGCAATTCTTTGGGCTATGTCGGTTACTCTAGTTTCTCTTACTCGCTTGAAACTCCGTGCATAGCCCTTTCCATTGTCCTTTGTATGACCTTGAGCCTTCTTCTTCTCATAGTGTAAGTGAGGCCCCTAGTTAAACGTAATTTAATATGTATAACGTGTCTTTTAGAGAATTCTCGCGGAATTCTACCGTTAATTGTCTTGTTCGTACGTCAAACCTATACGTCAAAGCTACATAAACCATTTACATACAATTTTGATACAAAAACTCACTTTTATTCCGATCGAACAAAGTAAATTCACTCGTTTGTCAATTGAGATCGAGTTATGAGAGAGTTGTATTAATTAGGAATGCATAGTTGCGCTGCTTTGTATGACGTCTTGGAATTGATAGTTTGTCATCGAAATTAAAAATGGCGGGCGAATTGATTACAAGTACTGCCATTTTGAACAAACGACGAACAAGTACTTCATTCTTACTTATTATTACTTTAGGAGCAGTAGAGCTTGGCACATGGGGCTTGTAAACTTATGTCTCAGGTCTTGTCAGGTCTGCTATGGACAGGCGTGTAGCTTACCATCAGGTGCATGATTTGTTCGTCCCGTCTCTTGATATTATAATTTAACGAAATCAAATACATAGTCTGGAAGTAGTGTAAATTATGTAAATGGTCGTGGATATCAATTAATCCCTCTCTAAGTGAAATACAAGAAGTCAGTTTTTTTCCTTGTGATATTGTAAATGTGTGCATTGGTCACATTGACTTACAAATAAATGGACGACGGGTCTAATACAAAAACCACGAAAAAAATGTCCCAAGTCAACCTATTTAAACGTAGTGTCAAGGAATGTGAAAAAGCTAAAACGTTGAATTTAAATTGTAATGTCATCAGTACTGTCTAATTTTACTTGCTTCGCTGTCAGTCGAACAAACGAAGACTAAAGCGTGAATGACGCTCTGTATACGATTTTAACGCCCTATTCGGACACTTTTTAGCGTGGACCCGACGTCCATATAATTGTAAGTCAATGATTGGTCACGAGTTAAAATTAGTTACTAAACTTTGACAAGTATGCGTGTCCATAGATTTGCATTGTGGATTAGAAACTAATTTATATTTTTAACGCTTCGTAATATGGGTAGATGGCGCTAATTCTAAACAAAGAATAACCAATAAGCGCTTTCTAGTTGACTTGTTTGTTAACACTAGAAATTAGAGTAGCTGTGAAAAATTGCAGCTCGTTAACGTAAAACAAATTAGTTACAAAAATCAAAAATAGCTATTATTTTCTCAAACTCGTACCTTATAGGGTGATTATTTTGGCAAAACTTTCTATTTATTTTAAATTTCTTATCCAGGGCGCTTTACTTTAAGAATAGTTCAAAGCAAGTATGTGAATATTAAGGAAATCTGATATGAAATGAGCCTGCAAAATTTTTTGCATTACAATAACTTTGTGTTTTAAGATACGCGTTTGAGAAAGTAAGCTGACGCTGTGGAACTTGTCGCGACATCTGGTGTACCCGCAGGTACTAAATACCCGACTACGCTGTCTTGTGTCGCAACTAGTAATCGTCTTCAGTTATCGGTGCATGATATAAGTAAGAACAAAGGATAAACTTAAAACTTACTCTTCAATTACAGCCAGTATCTCATCAACCGACATGAGAGGCACTGTCATCGTTGAATCCGGATGGAAGCACATCACCCTGAAAATATATTAAACATTCGTCGCGTGAAAAAGTCTGAAATCTGTCGTGGATAAACCTACACATTGAATGAAGTTTGACAAACTCCAGGTCCTTGCAAAAGAAGTCCGTTATCTACACTGCGAGAGGCCATTGAAATAAAAAAAATCATCCTAATTTTAACAGGGAAGATGGTTTCTCCGTACCATCAGTTTGGGATCCAGTATTTCCTCCGATGAAAAATCCCAAACAGACAAGACTGCAGTACTGACTGACAGACTGTTTTTATTTATTATAATTTCCATTATTAATTAATAATAAATTTAACTTAATAAAAGTTAATTCAATAAAATAATTTGTAAAACGTAATGTAGCGTAAATTGGAATGTTTCTTTGTAAAATTAAAATAGGATGGTTTGCATTAATATTAGACTTAACTGGTTTATGACTGTACCACCTCAGTTAACTGTGACCATGGGACCTGTAAAGGGCCCGAAACGTCGGTTTGTTTGAAAAAACAAATATTCGCGATATAAATCCGGAAAAATAGTTTCATTTCCTATATATTAAACATTTCTGAACATGGCCATACCTTAACATTCTACCACAGAAGCTTTTACATGATGTCGGTCAGGATATACAACAGCATCCCGAATGAATTTAAAAAATTCGAGTACATACGTAATATTTAAAAGTTTATTATAGTGTAGAAGAGTTTTTTGACGACAATGACAAATTTGGTGACTAGCGATGTGACATGTTTATCAATAATTGTTCTTTTTCTTTCATATTGCAACGCAAATTAATTTTCATTCGTGACATTTAATAATATGTTACACCTTATCTGGTAAACTATAGAGCACAAACCTATGTAATATTTTAAGACCTTATGTAATTACCTACAGTTATGTAATAAATGTATTCTTATTCTTATTATTCTAATTTGGTCGAGTATTACTTATTTTACTTTGCGGAACATAAACTATTTATGAATAATAATAATAGCTGTAGAGATCTTTGTAAACGAGTTCATCCAGGAAGGACAGCACGACAACGAACAGAGCGACATAACTTGCAAGATACTCTATGCGAGCACAGCAGTACCTCGCGCTTGCTAGCCCTACAGAAAGTACTGTCAAGGCTCCGCCACTCGCAGACGGGTAAGCTCTCGTACAAGTCTTTCATCTAAGAGCATTCGGTTCCGCACGCCTGCACACGGCGGGCATCGTCAATCGCTCCACAGGACGACTGAGGACCGTACCGCGACCACCTAACCGTTGACTTAAAAAACGAGTCTAATGATGAAACATTAAATTTGATCGTCGACTGAAAGACCTTTTGTTGGATAATGCGTATTATTCCACTGAAGAATAAAGGGACATGATCTTGTAATATATGTTATAATTTGTCAGAGATTATTAGGCAAGTATAAATAATATTTTACAGAAATGGATAAATTACATAAACTTAACGCATACAATCATTATTTTGACATAATAATTATTATATATTATGTTATATGTTCCTACATTATTTCAAGTAACTATGTTATCTATAGGAAATGAAACTATTTTTCCGGATTTAAATCGCGTATATTTGTTTTTTCAAACAAACCGACGTTTCGGGCCCTTTACAGGTCCCATGGTCACGGTTGACTGAGGTGGTACAGTCTTCAACCAGTTATGTCTAATATTACTGCAAACCACCCTATTTTTTCACTATAGCTACAATAGTTATTAATTAACTATTGTAACTATACGACGGTTTGTTTGAAAAAACAAATATACGATTTAAATCCGGAAAAATAGTTTCATTTCCTATGTGTAACAATCGCGAAAACCTAAGAACTCGACATGTTAGCTATGTTAAAATTACATAGTACAAAACTTGTACTGGATATCGAACAAATATACGCGATTTAAATCCGGAAAAATAGTTTCATTCCTTTGTACTGGATATTCAAATTTTTTGAAATGTAGCATTTAGTACTATTTGTATCGAGTCTTGAAACACAATATATTGTGTACATCAAGTATATGACCAGAAAATTTTGCATTACATTCCTGGTAACTCATCAGTGATACATCATGAAATATAGACAGCGCCAACAACTGACCTGCGTGTCTACATAATAAATACAGAACATTTTTGGGAATATACGTCTCCGTATATTGCCAAAAATGTTCTGTATTTATTGTACACATGTAACATCTCTAACAATGCCGTGCTGTTCTATTCGGTGGTGAGGGGGAGAACAGCAAAAAAAAAAAATAATTACAAAACAAATGGAATTAAATTTGATCGGCAATTAAATATTAGGTAATTTTGCAATTTTCGTCCATTACAGCAAAGCTCAAGTTAACTGGCCGATTTGAAGTGAAACAATTGACGACACCCGTCAATTGTTTCGAACTCGGGCTGGCCAATCGGAGCGCAGTTGTCGCCGTAATGATCTGGCAGAATAGTTTTCAAACAAATTAAATGACATTTCGTCTCTATTTCTGGTTATATACTCGATGATTGTATATGATAATGTAAAGTTTACAAGACAATAAATTAATCTCATTTTCGCCTCTCTCCAGTGCGTGCTCTCCTTTTTCCTTGTAAGCGCCTGGTGTCATTAGGTAGGTTATATGGTACATTGTTTTTATATTTTACTTGTTCAAACAAGAATTTTATTAGTATACATAGACTATATCACCTGCAAGTCCCCTTTGCTGCAGCGGCTTGGAACAAAGGATGCTCCGACACAGGCGGCTCGGGGACTTTCTCCAACAGAGCGGGAAAGTCATTCGGGAACACGTATGTCGATGTGTAGATTGGGTTGCGCTGAAATAATAAATTTAGCTTTCTTCGACGATACTAAGCAACGAGAGGAACAAGTCGTGCGCCTGGTGGTAAGCGACACGCCTGTCCATAGCAGCAGTAAAGATTTTATAGGCACTTCACCGCACCCGTCACACTTAGACGATAACTTGACAAGTCTCAAGATGGCGGTACTTCCCTGGACGAACTCTTTCTCAAGGACATCTACTGCTTCTAAACTTTAATACAAATCATCCTCTTATAGTTTTGATGTTTATGTCTTCTTCAATGGTTTTAAAAGTGTACCTTACCACCAGTGGAGAGGTGCGACAATTGACTTTAGTAAAGCCGGAAACACTTGCCTTAAGAAGTGGCGCTTTATTTCACTGGTTAATTATTCAACACGTAAAATTGAGCACAAAATGTAGTAAATTATTTTAAAATATTTATAACATTTGATACGTGGAAAATTTTAGGAAGGAATTTATTTTAGGTGGAAATCGAGTTGTATGGACGCCTTGCCACTGCCGACCACTCAAGTAAGGCTTTCAGTTGTCAATTGGATTGTATGTTTTTTCTTAGATTTTCTAAGCTTGAGGTGCCGAGAGCAGTTCTGCGCTCGCTTGATGAGGAAGTGAGCTTCTGTGCTACGGCTGTCTGGACAGGCTACGGCCACCGTCGAGCGACTTGTTGTCCCGACAGAGTCAACCGACCGATTGGGACCAGGTGGCTTGCCTTAGCTGGTCGGCCCGAGTGGAGTCAATCACAATAAAAAAACGCCCAAAGGAGATGTCGTTGAGGCGCCCCTTCATGGGGCCTCGCGCGGAGAGGTCACGCCTGCTTCGGCGGGTTGGTAGGCGGGGCATATCGCCTAGCCGTTATTGGCCATCCCTGGGATAAAGGATGTATTTGTATTACCCCGGTACAGAGGTCTCTGCCTGTGTGGACTGAATATTTCCCCCATACTCGTGGGAATCATATGGATTGCCTAAATAAAAATCGTTTCACACCTGATGGCGTGTCCGAGACGGACGGTGATAATGCTTCCGAGGGCCTCAGCCCTCAACCGACGAACCAATCCACGAGTAACAGTGTAAAAGAAAGGCCCCACCAAACGCAGGACAAGCATGGACGCCTCATTCGCCGACCAAAGTCTCCTCGCCCGGCGAATGAAGTGGCCCCGTTAGACGTGGATAGCTCCGACGAGGAGATTTTCCGCTCGGATATCACGAAATCCATAAACAAAAGGACATCAGTCCCCTCCAAACGTGCCCGTGAGGGTGAGGATCTGACACCAGAGCCCAATAGGGCTCCAAAAATCAACACAGCTCGGAGAGGCCGAGCTGTCGGTGTGGGTCACGCTAACACGAGACCTCGCCCTCGTGTGCCCGACGCGGATGGTCCTGGCGGGACATATAGACCCACGTTCCCCATTCCACGCTCACTAAGTGCGGGGAATCTGGACGTGAGCGCGGGGGCGGGCGACGAGGAGCGCTCTCCTGGCTAGGCTGGGGAGACTGAACTCGAGGACACAGGGGGTCTCGTGAGAGAGGCCCTGGCCAAGGCGCGAGACGGCCTCGCGGCAATATTAGCGGAGACCGCCAAGTCCGGTGATAGGGGACGGCGATCAAAGCCATAAAAGAGGCCATCAGAAAGGTGAAGGGAGCCGCGACTGAGGATGAGGGGGCAGCTCGCTGCCCTAGAGTCAGAGGTGAAGGCCCTGAAGGGGGCCTACTCCTCCGCCATGGCCAAAACCAAGGCGCAGGTGGCCCCACCTCCGAGCAGTTTCGCGGAGATGCACGCAGGGGTGAGGGAGGCCATTGATGGGCGGCAGAAGAGGATCGCCCGCCGACGAAGCAGTGACCGCCGCCGCCGCTGCTGCAGCCGCCCCCAGGGTGCCTCTCACCGCAGCCGCCCTCGAGCCAACATCGGGCCCCTCCCCGGCTAAGCGCGCCCGCTGACCCGCGGCCCAAGATGACGGCCAAGAAGAAGGCCCCCTTGCCGAAGGCTGCTGCCGCCCCTTCTGCGGCGGCCAAGAAAAAGGCCTCCCCGCCGAATGCTGCTGCCACGCCGACTCCCTGGCGGCCAAGCTGGAGGAGGTGATCGAGGGGCTGGCGGCAGTAACGCGGTCAACCAAAACCGCCGATCTGAGGGTCACCGGCTTAGACGAGTCGGTGACCCCAGAGAAGATCCGGACGGTGGTGGCCGCGAAGGGCCAATGCTCCCTGTCTCATGTAGGAGCCATCAGATTGACCCACAATGGGAGGGGGGATGCTCAGCACTCGATCGTCTTCTTCTTCTAAACTGATCTTGCGCTCCCCCCTACAAAGGGCAAGCCGGCGGGGACCCCAGGACCCCCCCTCTGTTGAGGGACAGAGTATGGACGAGTGATGCCAGCATGCCCCATTTAGTGGTGAAGATGGGGAGAAGTCACCCTAATTGGGGGGTACTTCTCTCCAAATCGCTCACTGGCCCAATGTTCCTGGAGACCCTAGAGAGGGCGGTGAGGAGGGCAGCTCCGGCGCCAGTGTTGGTGATGGGGGACCTCAAGGCCAAGAGCGCTGCGTGGGGTTCCCCGGTCAGCAATGCCAGGGGGCCAGAGTTGGAGAACTGGGCGGCCTTAGAGTTAGTCATCCTCAACCGGGGCCATGCCAACACGTGCGTTCGGCGAAATGGGGGGGTCAATCATGGACGTCACTTTTGCGATCCCCTCACTAGCGACGCGAGTATCTGGTTGGCAGGTCCTGGCAGACGAGGAGACCCTCTCCGATCATAAATACATACGGATGAGGGTCTCCCATACGCCGTCCACGGCGGCCTCCAACACGGCCCCCGGGGGGGACTTTCCCAAATGGGCACTCACCCGCCCGGACTATGAGCTTGCAGAGCAAGCAACCATGGTCCAGGCATGAGGAGGGGGGAGGATGGAGGGAGAGGGCCATGCCCAGGGCAAGATGGGCCCCGGGAAAAAAGAGTGTGTACTGGTGGACTGCAGAGATTGGGGATCTTCGCACAGCCAGTACCATGGCCCGGCGGGCCTATGGCCGATGCCGCCGCAGGCATCACACCCGGAGTGAGGAGAGAAGGCTCCACAGCGCCCTTCTGGGCGCGAAACAGACCCTGAAGATCGCGATAGGCCCCTGGCTCGGACGGGGTGCCGGGACGAGTCCTCCGCATCGCCCTGAAGCATCTCGGGACCCGCCTCAAGCAAATCATGGACGACTGCTTGAGGACGGGGTTGTTCCCAAGATGCTGGACGGAGTGAAGGCTCGTCCTAATACCCAAGCCGGGCCGACTTGCGAACTCCCCCTCGGGGTTCAGACCCCTCGTCCTACTGGACGAGGTGGCGAACTATCACCTCCAGGTTCAACGAACACCTGAGGGGGACAGGCCCCGACGTGTCGCAGCAGCTGTACGGGTTTAGGGCTGGACTCTCCACCTTGGACGCCCTGGAGTCGCTGCGACACATCGTGGAGGAGGCTAACGGCGTGAGGGAGGGTGTAGTGGCTGTGTCTCTGGAAATAGCCAACGCCTTCGGCACTCTCCCCTTCGCCGTTATCAGGGAGGCGCTGAGGTACCACGAGATTCCCAGGTACCTCAGCCGTCTGGTGGATCACTACCTGGAGGCCAGGGTGGTGCTCTACCAGACGAAGGAAGGGAGGCGCGCCGAGCGCCCAATGAGATGCGGAGTATCCCAGGGGTCCGTGTTAGGACCACTACAGTAGAACCTGAGGTACGATTGGGTGCTGAGGGGCGCGTTGCTGCCCCGGACGGCGGTCATCGCGTACGCCGATACACTGGTGGCCGTCTGTGGACCACCTTCCAGGATGCGGCCCGAAGAGCCTCAGTAGCGGCGGACATGGTGGTCCGCCGAATACAACTGCTGGGGCTGGAAATCGCCGTGCCGAAGACGGATGTGGCCGTCTTCGGCGGGAGGGGCAGAGATTGGGCGGTGCCGGCTGGTGCCTACATCTCCATCGCGTCAGTATCGGTCCCGGTCAGGTCCCAGATGAAATACCTGGGTCTTATCCTGGACGGGCGATGGAACTTCGGGGAGCATTTCCGGCAACTTGCTCCCCGAATAGTGGGCGCCGCATCGGCGTAGGGTCGGCTCCTGTCCAACCTCGGGAGGCCGGGAGCTCTATGCAGAAGGCTACACGCCGGGGTGACCCGGAGTATGACCTTATACGGGGCTCCCTTTTCGAGTGGGGCCTTATCAGCGACGACGAAATCGCTGCTGAGGGTGGCCTCAGAGGGTGGTCCCCCTGCGAATGTGCAGGGCGTACATGACGGTGGCCTGCGCTGCCGCATGCGTCCGCGCTGGTACTCCGCTGTGGGACCTTGACGCCGAGGTCCTGGCGGAGGTCCACGCCTACCGGCGGGGAATGAGGGACCGAGGCGAGCGCCCCGCTCCGCCCTATGGAGCCCGTACCATAGGGGCGATCCGTCCTGTCCTCGTAGAGTGGGTGAGCATCCAATGGGCCACTGTCGTACCACCGTGTGCAGGTGCTGACCGGGCACGGCTGCTTCGGTTACGACCTGCACAAGGTGGCGAGGAGGGAACCGTCCCCGTCGTGTCACGAGTGCGGCGCTGCGGATGACATCGCGCAGCACACACTAGAGGTGTGCAGCCGGTGGGATAAGCAGCGCCGTACTCTGACGGGGACAATAGGACAGGACCTCTCGCTGTCGGGCGTGGTTGCCGTCATGCTCGGTAGCGAGGAGTCCTGGGAGGCGGTAGCCTCCTTTTGCGGAGAGGTTATGTCGCAAAAGGAGGCTGCGGTGTGCGGACGCACACCCACTTCGGCATAGACGTACGAGGAGAAGGCGAAGGCAGTTCGCTGTTCGCCTGATCCACTAGTGTGGCCAGTGGGCTCTGGACAGGGACTCCGGAGGCTGCATTGCACGGCCTCACTCGTCTGGGGGGCAGGTCGGAGGACAACTGACCTGCCCCTCCGTTGGCGCGGGAGTCCTGGCGTAAGCTGGGACGGCCGGGCGGCGTCGTGGTGAATGTGCACCGGCCCCACGGCGCCGACTCAACCGGCGGGAGGTAAACCAGGGGGTTTTAGTGGGGTAGGCCCTCCAGTCTGGAGGGAGAGTCCCCACATAACCCTTGAGTCTCCCTGGGCTCAGGGGTATCTATAAAGACTTCCCCACCGTAAAAAAAGGTAGGTTCGCCAAGTAACCCCTGGCGTTCATTACACGGACCGCTTTGATGTCCATGGACCACAGACTTCAATTATATTTCCATACATACTGATTGTTTGGCCAACCTGATATTTAAATGTTTACCTGTCCATTAGCTCTAAGTGCTCCAGCTTTTAACGGGTTCTTAGGGTCTGGCGGCTGGTTTTCCTCTGACGGCTCGGTCTGCCCGCTCCAAGGCCGAAGGCAGCGATGCGGGGAGACCAGAATCCATTCGTCCTTGAGGGGGTTGTAGCGAACATGCTGGTGTTCTGATGGGAAAAGAATTTATAGGAGTGAAGATGTGCGTGCTAGAAAAGAAATAGCTACCGGCATTAATCTATTATGATTCGTTAACTGAGATGGTTAATTGTTAGTTTCAATTTATATTCCGGAGAATGCGCTCGGAGTCTGCAGCGGCTGGCGAATCCGTCGGAAATGGCGCGAATTTATAATGCCAAGTGCAAGAAGAACAAGGCCTGGTGGTAAACGACACGCCTGTCGATAATAGTTACAGTGCTACTCAGAGCTATAAAACGCAAAAATCGGAGGCGGAGCCTGTCACCTTGAGACATAAGTTTACATGTCCCATGTGCCTGTAATATCACCAGCACCCTTACCCTTCAAAACTGGGACACAGTAATGCTGACTTTACTGCTTGGCGGCAGATATAGGTAAGGTGGCAGTATTTATTACATTCGGAGCTCTTCTGCTACTATTACAATAGAGCGTTGGAAGGGATCTTTGCATAAATTTTCATACTGGCCTAAAAGATTTCATTTCTTCCATAAATCATGAACATTCTATTTTTAACCGACTTAAAAAGGATGAGGTTATACGTTTGACTGTATGTATGTATTATGTATGCCCGATTTCTCCATCTATTGTGGACCGATTTTGAAAATTCTTTTTTGTTTAGAAGGGTGCACTCTTGAGGTGCTCCCATTATCACCAAATCAGAATCTAATGGGGGGATCCTATGGAAGTCGAAAGAAATGCTCAAATTCTGTAAGCAATGTATTCACTGATCTCTCCGTCAATTGTAAACCGAATTTGAAAATTCTTTATATATACCTATCTATTTTTCTTTAATCATTATAACGAACTAGTGGATCGATTTCACCATATGAATATATTCATATAAAAATACCAGCCCGTTACACCAAGTACCAAGTATTAATTACTATCTATATGAACGTCTGCGATATTTACGCAAAATGGCATTCATTGAAATGCTATTGGTAATAATAATTGTGGCCATAATGTGTTTGAAGATTATTCCGTTAGAGTTAAACCTTTTGAACTTAAAGAAAGATAAACTATTTACATACAGGTTAATACAACATAGAAGTTCAAACCGGAAATATAATAGATTATAATAATAACAGTAATCGTTTATTTCTTCTTCCATAAAAGTTATAACTAGGTACTTACTAAAAAAAACTTAAATTTTTTTATTGAATTGATATTCAATTTTTTTGTGAAATTACTCCACTAGTTTGATATAATTATTAATACAAAGATCGAACACTTAGAAAAAATTTTTTCGATCCGGCCGGATTAGAACCGACGTGTTCTAGCATACCGTGCCAGACGCTATACCAACTTAGCCATATACATATATACACACACACATATATATATCCGCTGGTTCGTTCCGTGGCTAAGTTGGTATAGCGTCTGGCACGGTATGCTAGAAGACGTCGGTTCGAATCCGGCCGCGCCGAAGGATTTTTTTCTGAGTGTTCGATCTTTGTACTAATAATTAAAACTTAAAAACTTAATAAAATGAAATAATAATACTAGACTTTAACTCATACACGTCCCACTTAACAAAAGTTTGTTGGAAGATTGTTTTTCTATATTCCGTAAAATTTAGTTTGGTTTGTTTAGTTTAGTTTGGCGCCTTCAAATATAAATAGGTTTCTCACAGATGGTGCTACGGAAAAAAAAGTCGTTGAAAACAAAAATAAACGATCAGCAAGAAGCACATAGAAAAATTCGCAAATTCTGCAGGTTCGTTCCGAGGCTTAGTTGGCATAGCGTCTGCCACGGTTTGCTAGAAGACGCCAGGTTGAATCCGGCCGGATCGAAGAATTTTTTTCTGAGTGTTCGATCTTTGTATTAATAATTATTTCGAGGTAAGTTTGTATTTTTTTTCTATCGTGAAAATTTTTAGGCATCGTGTTTTTACACCAATAGTAATCAGTGTACATCCTGAATTTTTTTGCACATTTAAATGCGTTCGAGGTTGTATATAGAATTTTAAAAATAATATTAAAATAATGTCAAAGTTTAGTCGGTACATTTTAAAATCGATTCACGAAGTAGTTACTGTAAATCAAAGGTGGTTTGTAACGATGGGGGCTGGCATTATCGCTAAGCAAAGTCAAAGGCAAAGTGATAGAATCATTTATTCCATAGGCAAAGTTTTTACACTTGAAAACATTGACTTACAAATAAATGGACGACGGGTCTAATACAAAAACCACGAAAAAAATGTCCCAAGTCAACCTATTTAAACGTAGTGACATGTAAAGGAATATGAATAAGCTAAAACGTTGAATTTATACTGTAATGTCATCGCAGTACTGTCTAACTTTGCTTGCTTCGCTGTCAGTCGAACAAACGAAGACTAAAGCGTGAATGACGCTCAGTATACGATTTTAACGCCCTATAAGTTCGGACACTTTTTAGCGCGGACGCGACGTCCATATAATTGTAAGTCAATGCTTGAAAACGTCATTTTTTAAGCTACTGCTCGTTCACTTTGCTGACCTCCCTGAGAATTAAATCCCTAAATAAAAAACCGACCTCAAAAATTCGTGGAATTAATCTATCTGTCAAGTTTTATTGAAATACTTGTTTGCCACCCTTATAGGTGGAATATTTTTTTCAAATTTAAATGGGATTTCAATATTGATCCCCTCCCTCCAACCGTACCCTCTTTCCAACAAAAAAGAATCATCAAAACATACAGTCGGATTGAGAATCTCCTCCTTTTATTGTTAAAAAATAACTCATGTGTGGAACGAAAATAAGCTTACAACCTACATTAAAAGTATTTTAATTGAAAAGTCATATTACAAAATTTAAGACTACGCGTTAGATAATTGATTGAAAGACGACTTGAGTCAGATTCTACACAAAATTTATTTGAAATATCAATCGCTAGAGTTTCTTGCTCGTTCTTCTCAGAGAAGTCAGGGCAGTGAACGAGCAGTAGCTTAAAAAATGTACAGTCGAATTGAAAACCTCCTCATTATGTAAATAGACTGTATACGCTACGATACGGACTTGGCAAGTGTAGTAACTGTAATAAAAACAAATTGTTTATTATACATAACATTGTTTACACTTGGAGAGGTTCAAATATCTCAATACACTTTTTTGGTTGCGAATATAAATTTACACGGATTTTAATATTATTGAATTAGCTTTTTATAATTTATTTTGAGTGTCACTCGCTGTCACTGGTCACTCAAGTTTTTATACTCGGACGACAGTTTTGCGGAAGCAGGGAGGGGGTGAGAGGAAGGATAGTGTTGCCAGAATATCATTGAGAAAAAAAATTAAAATAAATGTTATTAATTAATAAATGTAATAAATAATTATAGAGGGAGCTGAAATGATACACAACGGCGCAGCCAACACTACCATTTCCATTTCCGGATCCAGTATTAACTCTGATGAAAATTATCAAGTAGACATAAGACTGCAGTACCAAATAAAAAAATATTTATTTTTAATTTAAGAAAAAAAAAATTGTTAAAATAAAATATTTTTCAAAACGTATGTAGCGTAAATTGGAATGTTTTTTGGTAAATTAAATAATAAGGTATTAATAACTTTTCTAACTATAGTTCAGAATATGAATAAAGTTTGCATGACTATTACACAAAATAATTTTTGAGGTATCATAAAAGACCATAACCTAGTTTTAGAATATTGCAATTGTATAATGATATTTTTAGCTATGTATATAATCAGTGTAAGTTTGTTTGAAAAAAAAACAAATCACGAGATTTAGATACGACAAAACAGTTAAAATTCCCATATAATTGTTCATAGCAGTCTGTCAAGTAAATTGAAATACGTACAATGAAATCTTTAACAACAAAACTACGTAAACAAAGAAATATAGAATATTCAAAAAACTAATTCAAAAAACAGATATGTCGCTTTAAATAGCAAAACACTTTTTCTAATTCTACCTACATACCAGTGGGTTTGAATTCCATTTTCAAATCTTGCGATACAAACGTTCTCACCACTCGGTGGCAAAGTCACTACTGACTGCGTTCATAAATAATAGCGATTACTACCACTTGATAAGATGTGTTGACTTACAAAGAGTATTTAATGTTATTTTAACCTACTATACAATATGTAGAAGTGATGTTCCCAAAGTGGTTTATATTGATTCTTCTTCCACCACAAGGGGTCCATGTAATGTTAATGGGGGTCCACGAGATTTGAACCCATTCAGGCGGGTCGAGACCTAAATTTTGGCTTTCTATGAATGGAATATTCCACATTACACAGATTAGTAAGCCAAGAGTACGTCAAGCATGACACTTTGTACTTTGGACTTGGATTTAAGTCTTAAGTGTCAAGCTTGACGTGCGTCAATAGACAATACTTTTTTAAATAGACATACATATTAATTACTAATTACTATGTTGAGTGTGTGCGTTATTATTATTATTATTATTATATTAATTACCTTTGAAATACTTAAACGTTTCACAACAAACAAGATATTCGGTTAGATAAATGTATAAAACTTAACATAATTTAAATAAAAATAAAAGATCGAACACTCAGAAAAAAATCCTTTGATCCGGCCGGATTCGAAGCGACGTCTTCTAGCTTATCGTGGCAGACGCTATACCAACTAAGCCACGGAACGAACCAGCGGACCCCACGAACCCTTCCATGTGCTCGCGTCGCGTCTTTGTTTGCGGTCTTTTCAACGACTCTTTAGTTGTAGCGCTATCTATGAGAAATCTATGAAAGTTTTGTCACCCAGGTAGATAGATATCTTTACAGTTACCAGCCCTGGCGAGAGATGTCGCTATTCACCGTATTTTAAATTTTTGTTGAATTGATATTCAATTATTTTTTGTGAATTTATTCCACTAGTTTGTTATAACTATTAATACATACATCGAACAGTCAGAAAAAATTCCTTCGATCCGGCCGGATTCCAACCAAATATTTTTTTAAAGTTCTTTTTTCTTAAGGAATGGTTTGTGAGACTAATTGTATCAATTCAGCCAGAGACCGTTTCATGTCATTTTCATAAACATTATGAAGGGAGTGTAAACAGAAAATTTATTCGGTGACTCAGCGGGAGTATCTAAGATTTTATAAAGTTTTTCACTATCACTTCAGCTGTCAAACACATATTCGACATTGATGGAGTTCGAAGAGTATTTGTATTTATTTCTCTCCACAAAAATAACTACTAAAACACAGTAGCAACGCAAAATGCTTTATTTCTCTCAGAAAGGTGTATAGTAGTTACATTTCATGTAAATAACTAGTTCCTTAGTTAGAGCTGGAGCCTGTACTGGGTTGTAGACCTGTGTTCCAGATCACCAGGCGCACTCCGTCCAGGTGTATAAAGAACGTAACATTATTTAAAAAAATACGATAATATTACAAAACAAATCTTAGCATAACATATTTGTGTTTGTGTATGCGAGTGTGTGTGCGTGAGCGAGTGTGAGTGAGTGCGAGTGAGTATGTGTGTGTATGTGTGTGAGTTAAACCTAATTCGGTACGGTAAGTGACAACTGAACATGAACCAAGCTCAAATAGACAAAAATTATGTTTAAATCATGTTTGCAAAAGACTGGAATTTAAACTAAGCAGAAGCTTTTAATATAGGATGTATAGTGACTCTATTAGAACGAAACTGACGGGATCTACTTCACATTTAAAGTGGTAACTGAAATGCTGTTCTGAAAAATTTGCTGATAAAAGGAACAAATTTTGCAAGTCTATTTTAGTTATTTGTGACACAACTCGTAGGCACAAATTAAAAACATTACCCGACCGTTCCACAATACCACATTTTTTAATCTATGCAATCATAAACCACATGTTATATAATGTTATAAAATTTGCTATCAGTTATTTACAAGCAAATTATTGTTTTATAAACACTTGACCTTTACTAAGGACGTTAAATTACTTAAAGGGTGGTCTAATTCCGGATTAGGAACTCTGAAATTCAAAGTGACCCGTGACCTTTTGACCGTTGGTTTGTTTGAAAAAACAAATATTCGCTATTTAAATCCGAAAATGTAGTATAATTTCCTATGTATAAACAAACACGAAAACTTTAGAAGTCAATAAACTCTAAAATAGTTAAGTTTTTATGTGTAAAATTTAGTTTTTGCTTTTGATATCTTAATAAATGAATAATGTCCTTTTTGTGTACAGAGATTGTTGATACGAAAGTGCAAAACGTTATACCACATTTAGCGCCATCTATGGGAATTTTCACATACTACTTGGAGAGCGAGTTACGCGGCAGCGCAGCGGTTCTTAGCAAGGTTTTACGTCATAGACTTTTTCAAATAAAAATTGATATACTTAACGAATTAATAATAAAAACTTTACACTGTGTTAAATAAATCATAACAATAACAATTTTCGAGATATTTGACAAAGTTTTCTTACGTTTACTTTACTTTGTATACGCAGCCAACGCCATCTAGCGGAATTTCCTTGTACCAATTGGAGCAGGAAGTCATCAAAGTTGCATTTTTTTAAATTTCACATGAACAACTTTACGTTCTGCCCAATTCAATATACCTAATGGGCCTATATTACAAATATTGTTGAAATTAGAAGAAACGGGGCCATGAACCACGGCAGAACGTCAAAAAAGAGAAGAATATACAAGAATTATTGGCCCAGAGCAATTGAACAAACATCTAGGCCTATTATATATCGATGCTATGTAACTAAAAGCCCTATTGAAGTTTAGACGTTTACTTTCATATCTAGGCGGTTTTCATCATTATCACTTTCCAAGGAAGTTTCAAGTTATAGTGCGCTATGCTGCCGCCGCCAGAGCGATCGAGAATCGCAAAAGGCTCTAATAGAGTGCGTGAGAAGAACACCTGGGACTGCGCGTCCCAGGAGACCTCTAGTGACTAGAGTACCAGCTACTTTCCCGGGGTAAACTTAAATTTAAATAATCTTTATTTCTTATGTAAGCAAATTACACTTGAAATCATCTTACTGGTTAAACTCTACTGCTCATTCGTAGGCAGATTCCCCTGAGAAGAATGAGCAAGAAACTATAGGGGTTGCTCTTTGTAAATATACATTTGAAAATGTTTATCATTTACAATAAGTATTTGCTTCAAAGATCTTAGATCGACTTTTGTCAACCCAGTACATTTAGTATAAAGTTTTTGTTTCATGATAGCTTTACACTCTGTAAATGGCAAATTTTGAATATCAAACAGAAACATACTATAGAATCGTATATATACATTGGCCCGATGAATTAGTGACTTTGTGAAGACAAACGGTCAAGAACAGCTAGTTTGTTTCTATTCCTCGTAATAATATTATGTCTGTCACAATTTTTTTAAAGAAAATTGCTATTCTTAACATAAATTACATTTTTAACCGACTTCAAAAAAGGAGGAGGTTCTCAATTCAACTGTATGTATGTTCTTTTTTTTTGTATATATGTTACGCGATAACTCCGGTATTTGTGAACCGATTTTCATGATTCTTTTTTTGTTGTAAAGGGGGTACTTCCATAGTGGTCCCATTTCATTTTGAAGGAAATCATCCACCTCGAAGGGTGGCTGTTCACGCATGAAGATACACTTTTATAATAAGCGCCTAACTTTAATTTAGGAGCAATTACTTTAATGGTTGATTTTGCTATTTCTTCCATTCAAGGCGTTTTTCTCTCAATATACTTTGAGTAGTGTCGTAGTGAGAACCTATTTTTATTATCTCCAGTGTCAAGTCCAGTATAGTGGTGAACTAGGGGATATTTCAATAAAACTTAGCAAATAGACGTAATTTCACGTACTTTTGAGGTCGGTTTTTTTAGTACTCTGTACTGAAATTATTATAAATGTACTGCTAGTGCAAGAATGTTAACGTCTTGGAAGTGTATTCTCATAAGCAGCAGTAGAGCTCCCTGTGAAAGAGTTCGTCCAGGGAAGTACTGCCACATTACCTATTTCTGCCGTTGAACAGTAATGTCTGCATTATTGCGTTCCGGTTTTGAAGGCTGCTGGTGAAATTACTGGCACATGTCAACATAAGTTGTCATTTCAGGGAGACGGGCGTAGTGGCGCAGTCCTTTGCGATTTTAATTTTAGAAATTACATGACATTTGGAAATCCATTACATTATAATTACTTTTACCATTGACTTACAAATAAATGGACGACGGGTCTAATACAAAAACCACGAAAAAAATGTCCCAAGTCAACCTATTTAAGCGTAGTGACACGTAAAGGAATATGAAAAAGCTAAAACGTTGAATTTAAATTGTAATGTCATCGCAGTACTGTCTAATTTTGCTTGCTTCGCTGTCAGTCGAACAAACGAAGACTAAAGCGTGAATGACGCTCTGTATACGATTTTAACGCCCTATAAGTTCGGACACTTTTTAGCGCGGACCCGACGTCCAGTTTTACATTTCGATTTAAATCCAGAAAAATAGTTTCATTTCCAGTGTCGTGTTGCATTCACAAACAAATTATTGTCGTTTTACATATTTTAAAAAATTCATATCTTTTTTCTCCAACTTATTTCCAAGATTTACGAATGAAAATAAACTTATAATTATTTTATAACGTATGTTTAGATGGACATATAATTTCAAATGGAGGCGAGTAAAAAATTTGCGAGTCCGAAATGTGAATTGCGCTTTCAAATAATATATAATTTGTTTTATGTAGCTCGTGTTATGTTGAAATCTATGACGTGCTATTTTGTTAAGATAATTTAAAGGTACGGTAAAATTTAAAAAAATAAATAATCTCAGTACAGACCACTAAAAAAACCTATATGAAAAAAACCGACCTCAAAAGTACGTGGAATTACGTCTATTTGCTAAGTTTTATTGAAGTATCCCCTAAGTTCGCCACTATACAGGACTTGACACTGGAGATAATAAAAATCGGTTCTCACTACTCAAAGTATATTGAGAGAAAAACGCCTTGAATTAGAGAATAGCAAAATCAACCATTAAAATAATAGCTCCTTATAATAAAATTTAGGCG